CTCATGAAAAAAGAAAATATCTAAAGGCCAAATGGTCACGTTCATGGCACTCAAATGCAAATAAGATGATGTACGATCTTTGTGAGACCGGATATTATCATTCATTGGTCTAATTTCACACACGTACGGTGGGAAAAAACCCCTTCAAAAAAGGAAAAGATAATTAAATTATTAAATATAAAATATAATGATAAGACAGGTCAGAGACTGTTAAACTTTGAATAGAGAGAACAAGGAAATGTACGAGAGAGGATGCGAGTTAGGCTCTTACCATAATAACATAAAATTATGAAAAGAATGAAATGGGGATGAAATATTTTCTATCATTTCAAAGGTTGATTGGTGGAAGTCATTGTTGAGGAAGATACAATAGTTTGGTATAATATTTAACAAAGTTTCGAGTTCTTTTTGTAATTGTAAAATAAATTACCGGAAAGAAAATTTTTTTTGTGTTAAATATTTTATAAAAAATTTAAATATTTTTTATTATTTAGATAAATTATCAAAATCAATTTTTCGTTGTTCGTATCATCTTTTGAAAAATATTTTCTTATCACTAAAATTATAAAAATTATATAATTACCAATACTCTAACATCTTTAGAGGTCTAAAAATATTAATATGCAATAATTGTATATAACATTTAAAACTTTAGTTTTAATATTAAGAATATGATATAATAATAAAATATATAAAAATTAATAGATGAATCAAAATTAATAATCTTACATGATAAAAACATTCTACATCAATAATAAAATATATCATTAATCATTTTACAAATTCATACTACATATATAATTAAAAACATCTTGCAAACATACAAACATCTTACAAATATTATTTTAAATAATAAAATCTATTAGTAATATAATTTGTCATCTTACATAAACTTATTAGCAATATAAAACCTCATCCACTTAAACCACGCGCAATAGCAAATGGTGCCTAACAATCTTATTTCAATTTGAATCTATAAAGTTATTAAGCACAGGAGCAAAAATAAAAGCCAACAGACATGGTCGAAACATAATGAAAAAGAAAAACAGAGATGCTGGAAATTACATCACAAAATAGGGGACAAGAAAAAATATCAACCCATCAAAGACAAAAACAGAGGTATAGTGGCAACAAAAAGCAGAGCAGTAACCATGAAGACTACCACCAGGCCACAAACATATCACTTCTATCAACCCCAATTTTAGCCAAAAAATATTAATAATGTAGAAATCAGATAAAGGGTTATTGTTGATCGATTATTTATAAATAGAAGAAGGCACTAAGCACAACAAGATAAACGCACAACTCAACTTAATAATACAAAAAATTTTATGCAAAATACCTGAGAAAAAGAGTGAAGAAAGGAGAGATTTATTTCCAGAACTGAAGGAGGAAGGAGAGCAGAACATACTTGGCTATTTAGAGAAGAAAAAGGTTGCTATTCACATCGCCAATGGAAGAAATCGAGGGTGGAGGAAAGAATGGTAAAAAAGGGACTTAAGGCAGGAAGCTTTTGTTTTTTCAACTGGAAGGAAATTGTTTTACGCTGCTCGACGGCGTAAGACGATTTATGGAGTCAATAGACCTTATTTTTATTGACTCGTAAAATCTTTTATAAAGTAAAAATGTTTTTAAGTTACCAAACATCGTTGAGTGCTGAAAAAGTTTTCTAAAAAATATTTTTACCCAAAACAAATAAATTCTTATTTTTTTCATTATTTTCAATTAATATATTTTTATTTTGAGCTAAATACATCATTATGATTAATAATTAATTAATTATTATTAATCAAATTATTAATTTTCATTTTATGTGTTGATTTAGTATGTTGATGTGTCATAATAAATAATGATATAATATATTAACGCGATACTAAGATATGATCATGTGACATTTTCATCATTCATGTCAATACTATGTTAATATAAAAATTAAAAAACGGTATTTTTCACTATCAACTATTAGAGTTAGGAGTTAATTTAGTCTAAAATAAAAATATAAGAATTTCATTGAATATAATTATAAAATAATATATTATTTAAATTTTTCTTAATGCATTATTTTCTAAATGTTCCAATTGGTTATTAAAATCATCATGGCAATATTCAAGTGTAGTAATGTAATACTTTTATTTTACATGGTGTTAATATTAAATTATTTATTTTTATTTGTCAAAACGGCCAACTTCAGGCCCATGTGGTTCTTGTTTTGAGACCTGGGCTTATGAAAACTAAATATCTCTAACACAACCAGAATAGGTGGCCCAGCACTTCCTTTTCTTTGGGCTGCATCAGGATCCGACCCACCGGGTTTTCATTGAACAACAGCGGAGAAAAAGGAAGAAGATAAAGAAACAAAGCCCTAGGCCGACCGGTCCGTTCTTCTCTTCAACTTCTTTGCCATTGAAGGCTGCCGATCCGGTAGGTCCCCTTGTTTATTTTCTCCTTATTATTTCTCTGTATTTTTCGTTTGTATTTAAAGGTTCGAAGGAAAGTTCGTCTTTAGAAATTAATTTGATGATAGTTATCTGATTGAGTTAATCGTTGTTTATTTGAAAATTTCCTTTTCCGAAGGCGGATGGTAGATGGGTAGTTGTTGTTCTTGCTCCTTCTTTTGGTCGCATGCAATATTGAATGCATTTGTTAATTGATTGATTGATTGATCGATTGATTGTTTAGAGTTATTCTTTGGGGATATCAGGAGAGCAAACTAGTGATCTTTGAGCATTTTGACAATTTTCTATCAGTTATACGAGATTACGATATAGTTAAAAGTTTTGGGTTAAGACTGCGTGGTTGTTTTCAGCTGGCTGATCAGTTCTGAATTCTAGCTATACTGTTACTGAATGTAAATAGTTTAATCAAAAAAATATAATGGACAAGAATTTAGAAACAGTAATATGCATTTTTAGTATTTATTGTGAAAGGAAGTGTCAAATCTACAGCATTTAGCGCTTTATGCTTTACTGTGATCCATATGAACCCCCTGAACTGAGATTTTGGTTTGAGTTAATGTTGCATGTGTGTGTATTTCAGCAGTGAAAGTATTCATGCGGTTGTTGGGTATATCGACAAAGTTTTAAAGAGATTGAAAAGAGGGTAGTGGGGGAATTAGAAAGCAGAAGGTTAGCAGTTGGTAGTATATTGGTAGATCTAGACATACTCTTTTGTGCATTAGAAGATTGCATTTGTTTAAGTTTTATAGTCAAGTGAGAATTCTGTTACATTTTCAGAAGAGGAATTTATTCTTCGTTGTCCAAAGCCAACTGCCATTTAAGTTGTGTGATTGAGAACATCAGTTTGAAAGGATCTTGTTGTGCTTAGCAAGGTTGACTTGGTGAATCTCTCATATTTTATCTGTATATGGCCTATCACTGGACCATGCCAAGTATTCTGGTAACTCGAGGAATTTAATTGCTAAAGTCATTAGTATCTGAAGTAGTGCATGTGAATTATTGCTCTCATGCTTATCCCACTGTTAAGGAATTGTATGTTTCAGCAGTCTTATGTCTGCTTTTGCAACTTTACTGTCAACCAGTTTCATGTGAACTAGAGTTGAACTAAAAGGAAGTGGATGTAACATTGTATTTCTTTTGTTCTGTTCATATAGATTAAATCATACAGAATGGGCAAGAAAGCTGGTGGACTATATATAAACCCAAAGAAATTTGGCTCCCTCTCAAAACCTTGCATGAAAGAAATGATATCATTTCTCAATTGCTTGTCTCTTAACAAGAATAATGACGATAAATGTGTTCGGCAGAAGGACCTTTTGAGTGCCTGTATGGATGCGCAGGTATGTAATTCTGGTTTTGGGCTTTTAGTTATATCAATAATGGCCCCAATCCCGAACTCCTCAATTACTTTACATCATCATTCCCATCTTGACCTCCAACTCTGGAGTACTTATCCTCCTTCTTCATGTGTTTTGAAGAACGAGGATAAAAAAGTCCTTTACTGTAACATGTTATGTTGAAAACTTTTCTCTATGCTATTTATTCATCATGACTTACATAAACATATTGTTTACTTTCTTGCAGAGTAACAAGAACAGAAAGCCCTGGGGCAGCATCAATTACCACTTGCAGAGGCTTAACAGGGGAAGGAAGTAGTGTGAGTTTTTTTTTTTTTGTAAGAAGAATGTTAAATTTATGTATCATTCTTCAAGTTCATCACTTCTGGTGGTTTAGCAGAGGAAGAAGTGTATTGGTTGTTAGCTAGATAGAGAACAATGATGTATCATTACCTGATTGGATTGTTTTGAGGTTGCTGATGAAAATTTTGGAAAATTGATTTTAAATAAAATTTTTATGTAGCTTAAATCAATTCTCTAGGATTGTGAGGAGTACCAATAAATAATCTATATCAGAAAGAGTTCTCTACATGATGGATACAAGTAGAAAATCATGTCATGGAGCTCACTTTGATTTGTGGCTCAAAGCCTTGGCATGTTGCTTTGCATATGTGAAATGATTGCATCCAGCTCCATCAAGTTCCTTTCTGTTATCATTTTGCTAAACTACCGTGTCTGTATAGACCAAATGACAGGAGAGCAGGGTCAGAAACAGCTCTTTTGCGAAGTACTAATTCATGTTACTCTGTTTTCTTATTGTCAGCCTTTGAACTTTTTCAATACTTGAATTGCATTCAGTTTGTGACTAATAAAATTAGCTACTTCCCCTCTGTATATTCTTATGAAGAACATCGAACTTTCAGTAGTCAGTGTCTCCGTTTACTTTATGTCCTTGCACTTGAATAGCAGCGCGGTGCTGTGACTTGGAAAGCAAGTTGGCTAAAACTATCTCAACCTTAGAAGCAAGGAAATCCTCATATAAGCACAGGGAAACAGAGCAAAAACCTTTACATTAGCAACGTAAGTTAGCAAATAGTTCCATCTCAAGAGAACATCTATTAAAATGTGTAATCTAAGTTCTAAATCCACCTAGTTCAGAAAAAGAAAATGCTGAAAACAAAATCGAAATATGGCCCAAGTTATTATTATCCTGATGATCCGAATCAAGATTTCTTAGAATCCAGCTATATATGGCCTGTTTATATTTCATTCTTAATCAACCTCCTCAATCTTGGGGCCAGCTCCACTTCCCCCAGCTGGAGGTGCATCATCGCCGGTTCCACCACCCGCTTCAGCAGCAGCACCTTGGTACATTTTGGCAATGATGGGGTTGCAAATGCTTTCCAGCTCCTTCATCTTATCCTCAAACTCATCAGCTTCAGCCATCTGATTGCTGTCTAGCCAATTGATGGCTTGCTCAACTGCATCCTCGATATTTTTCTTATCAGCTGGATTGAGCTTAGCACCTATCTTCTCATCCCTGACTGTGTTCCTCATGTTATATGAAAAATTCTCCAATTCATTTTTCGCCTCAACTTTCTTCTTGTGCTCCTCATCCTCCGATTTATACTTCTCTGCTTCTTGGACCATCTTCTCAATCTCTTCCTTGGAGAGCCTGCCCTTGTCACTGGTGATTGTAATCTTGTTCTTTTGGCCTGTGGTTTTGTCCTCAGCAGAGACATTCAAAATGCCATTGGCATCAATGTCAAAGCAAACAGTGATTTGAGGCACACCCCTAGGAGCTGGTGGAATGCCGGAAAGCTCAAATTTACCAAGCAAGTTATTGTCCCTTGTTCTTGTTCTCTCACCCTCGTAGACCTGAATCAACACGCCAGGTTGGTTATCCGAGTAAGTGGAGAAAACTTGTTCCTTCTTTGTAGGAATCGTGGTGTTCCTTGGAATAAGAACAGTCATGACTCCACCGGCAGTTTCCAGCCCAAGGGAGAGAGGGGTGACATCCAAAAGAAGCAAATCTTGAACCTTCTCATTGCCCTCACCACTCAAAATGGCAGCTTGTACAGCTGCACCGTAGGCAACGGCCTCATCAGGGTTAATGCTCTTGCAGATCTCCTTTCCATTAAAGAAATCCTGCAATAGCTGTTGTACCTTGGGAATCCTAGTAGATCCACCAACAAGAACAACATCATGTACAGTGCTCTTATCCATCTTAGCATCCCTTCAGCATTTCTCCACCGGCTCCATACACTTCCTGAAAAGATCCATGTTGAGCTCCTCAAATCTAGCCCGAGTAATCGTAGAGTAGAAATCAATACCTTCATACAGAGAATCAATCTCAATAGTGGTTTGAGCCGTGGAAGATAGAGTTCTCTTTGCTCTTTCGTAAGAAGTTCTCAATCTCCTCAACGCCCTTGGGTTTCCTGTAATGTCCTTCTTGTTCTTCCTCTTGAACTCCTGCACAAAATGGTTCACCATCCTGTTATCAAAATCTTCCCCTCCAAGGTGTGTATCTCCAGCCGTGGCTTTCACTTCGGAAATACCCTCTTCGATGGTAAGGAGAGAGACATCGAAAGTACCACCCCCGAGGTCAAAGATTAGCACATTTTTCTCACCAACGCTGCTGGCTTTCTTGTCAAGTCCGTAAGCAATAGCAGCAGCGGTCGGTTCATTGATGATCCGCATGACATTGAGCCCTGCTATAATGCCAGCATCCTTCGTGGCTTGACGCTGTGAGTCATTGAAGTATGCAGGGACGGTGACAACGCCATTCTTCACTGTTGAACCCAGATACGCCTCCGCTGTCTCTTTCATCTTCATGAGGACCATCGAGGACACTTCTTCCGCAGCAAATTGCTTCTCTTCACCTTTGTAAGTGACTGTAATCATCGGCTTGTCACCGGGGCCGGGGGAAACCTTGAACGGCCACAACTTGAGGTCGCTTTGGACGGAAGCGTCGTTAAACCTCCTCCCAATCAACCGCTTTGCATCTGGGGTTACAAGATTAGAAACAATTAATGCTATACCTTAATAATTACTTCATACTATCAAACAACAAACTTGACAACATATTTACTCCCAATCAAATATTCGATCTAGAGATTAATTTGTACAATTCCTTCATATTAAAAATAATATTTTGTTAAAATAAAATTTAAAAAAATCATATCACCGAGACAATCTTAATATTATAAGATGATAATATTAACTTCAGAAGAACATTAAATCACATGTATACATAAACACGTAAACATAACAATCCATGCATGCATAGTAATGTACGTGACATTGCGCATTAATTAATACAGAATACATTCAAATCATTTTATGTTATCTTACAACAACATTAAACTGGAAACATGGGATTAAAAGAAAAAAGAGAACACCTCACCAAAGACAGTGTTGGTAGGATTCATGGCGACCTGGTTCTTAGCAGCATCGCCAATCAAACGCTCACTGTCCGTGAAAGCCACGTAAGACGGTGTCGTTCTGTTTCCCTGATCATTAGCAATAATCTCCACACGATCATGTTGCCAAACGCCTACGCACGAGTAGGTAGTCCCCAGATCGATCCCGATTGCCCATCCCTCACCTTTGCTAGCCATCGTAAAACTCTTACTGCGGAGACTCAAAGCAAAAAAGGAAAACGAAGAAATATGATAGTCTGTTAATGTAGTTTGGAGTTTTCGAGAATGTTCTCTTTATGTCGAGTAACTGTTTTGAGATGGCTACCGTGTTTGATGGAGATGGGTTTTCCCTATTCAAACTGGTTCGAAGTTTCGTTTCTGTTATGCATGCATGGCCTCTGGAAGTTAAGGTTTGTTTGGGGCACTTTCGTGTTTGTATTCTTAAGCTTGACAGGGATGAATTTTTTCCATTGGAGGAAGCTTGTGTTTGTTTATAGTCTAATTGGGCTTGGCCCTCTTAAGCATAGTTTCTAACATTCCCTTAAACTTTACTACTTGAAAATCATTAACTATAGTAGTCTAAAGGTGGCTTAAACAGCAAATTAATTCTTGAACAATGATCAATTTTCAATTAAGTCTCTCATATTTTATTATATCTAAATGAAATTTTAAACTTTGATTTATACAAAAAAAAACACTCTTAAAATGAAAAATTTGTTGTGATTAAAATTAATATCAATTGATATTTTATACCCATGTGGCATAAACTTGGCTCGTTAACATGATCATGTGCCAACTTATACATTTGATCATTTGATGATGTCGATTGCTACATGATCATATTAACAAGTCAAGTTATATGTCAAATGAATATACAATATCAATTAACGTTAGATTTGAAAATGATTAATTTTCTATGAAGGTTTAAAGCTTTTTTGGATACAAATCAAAATATAAAATTTTGTTTGGGTGCAATAAAAGATGAGATATTTAGTTGGAAAAACAAAAAACATAGTTTAAGGAATTTTTTACTATTTAAGTCTCTAAAACGTTTAAATATATTATTTACTTTAGTTCTATCAAAATTTTCTAATAAAATGTAAAACCATCTTAATTAGAAGCTTAATTTGCATGATTAGTTTGGGTTTTGTATGCAACTCTATACCCCAAATTGCAATGAGTACTAGTATTATTTAAAAGAAATTATTGGAAATATTGATGAAAAAAAAAGGTTTGGGTAATTTTATAGTTGACTATTTAATTTTTCAAAAAATTATTTCATGTTTAAATCAAGGAAAAATAAGAAAAGTGCTTCTTTTTCCAAATTGTTGACAAATTTCAATAAAAGGTTTGGTTTCTAAAAATTTGGCAGTTGTATATCTAGAGATTAAATAAGAAAAAAAATTCATTTTAAAAAGAAAAAAGAAGAAGAGATCAAAAAGTAAAGAGGGAAAACAAAGTACTAGCCTCATCTAGTTCAGTATTGTAATTGATAACATTAATGTTAAAAGCACAAAGCAAAAAGCTGAGACTTCTTTATTTTTTCCTGTTGGGTGTGGGGAAAAGCTTCCCTCCTCTATTTCCCCCTTTTTCTTTTCGGAACGGAATGGAGTTTGAATTCCATACTCAATTTCAGCCGATAAAACGCATGATTCAACAAGTTTTGGGCTTTACGGGCTAGTTTTGGGCTAAATTTACGAAAAAATGGCTGCTTTCATTGCAATGAACCACTCATCATAGCTTGAAAAGACAGGACACTAGAAGCTGAATGAGGGAGATCATTAAGATTTTGGACTCGAATTCAGACTGGAGGATGTGGCAAGGAATGATGGAATAACTTTTTGTCATGTAATCCAATGAATAATTGAAAGAATGAGAACGTTTTTGGCTTAAGTTAGCCGTGAATTCTCCAGGAATACACTTATGCTAGTATAGTTGACGTTGGAAATGTCTTTTCTGCAAGTATCACCCGGCACCAGCTGTATTAAAGCTTGGGGACCTTACACTACGGACAATTATTATTGCCTAACGGGCTTGAACTGCAACCAGATGATGCCAACACTGGGCAGTAGCCTTGCCTTTTTAACAGGGAACTAAAGAAAACAAAGGATCTAAAGCT